CTTAAAAATGCGGTTCGACGTGAACGTTTCTCAGATTATTTGATTTTCGATAGATTTGATGTTTCTGATGAAATATTATTCTGACAAAACATGTTCGTACTCCATACGCGTCCACTGCCGAACTACGCGTCTACACGCTGGTACATATAGTTGTTCGGCGGTATGTTTTACGTCTGTCAATTACAAATTAATACGATTCCACGCGACAACATACGAAATCGGTCGTCGCATTCAGTGTGTGCGCGCGCACGGGGGCCATTAGTACGGGTGTGGTAAGCCGACGACGTTCCCGTGCAACAGCGGATGACGCGTGTTCGCGGGCCAACGGGAAAACGTGTCCGGGCGCGGACGACACGCGCCGCCAGTAGACAGCGGCGGCAGCGTCCACCGCCGCCCGGGCCCCGGATCGAGGCGACGGACGTATGCGAGAACGCTCGGGAGTCGAGACAGCGGCAACTCCGCCGACGCGCACGTGAAGAAGTTGCGCCGTCACCTCGACGCCAACCCGTCCGGTCGTTTCTTCAGTGCACTTACACCTGGATATTTACAACGAAATCTTAACCCGGGTCTGGTGTCGTACGGGTTTTCACTCACAAACATAATATGTCGACCGTGTTCTGTTTTTAAATTCTAATAAAAACCATTCGTAGACCTATGCGCACTTATACTTGTTCCCATCAAACGGCCGTGTCCGAACGGCCCGTAACAATGTGGTCCCGCGTAATGTTTATGCGCGTGTGCTAGAAATTCGTTGATACAATCCGGTGGGTTTAAAATAAATCTGTGTGAATCGGAGACATTTTTTCGGACATGCCGGTGTGCAAACAATTGACACTGATTCTATTATTTCGGACCATATCAACGATATGGTTCGCTATACCGATTCGTTTTTGATTATCTTTTTGTCCGATTTCTTCTGAAGTTTGTCCAACCTTATCATTTTTTCCGTGACTCTCCGTTTTTAATATTCCTAAAGATAAACATTTAAAGGAGAAATGGCTATAATCTTTAAGCATATATCATTTAAGTGCTAACGAGGTTATTTGCGAAAACATTTTTTGGGATGACCTAATAATAAGATCAAAGGATGTCGTTGATAAATTAGGTAATGTTATTTGCTCAGTAAATATAGTTGACATGCGGGTGTGGATAGGTACATGGTAGATAGGATATGGACACCTGTCCATATGGAAAAACGTATCTATAAACCAAGGAAGTCAAATTTAGTTGAAAATTTAATAAAATAATTGAAGAGTAAAATTGGAAATCTTTGAAGTCATTTACCATAATTATACAAAATTTGAAGTAATAGATTATCTAATATATTATTTAATTGGTATATAACAAAATATTGTGATATATTTACCATTAATTATTATTATATGAAAATGTTATTAAATATTAAAAAATCAATTAATTACTTTTATATCTAAATAAATGTTGAAACATTGGTGATTGCAATACTTGTAAATCAGCTTTTGTAACATAAAAAGTTTATTCTGAACAAATGTGTTCTTCGTTAGTTAACATGAAAACGAAGGGACGATCGATACACCCAAACATTTGATTTTTGATTATTTTGATAAAACTATTTTGATTTTATCGAAAAAAAATTGTATACATTTGCATAAAACATTTTTCATCCACGCACGTATTTGAACTCATCATCATAGATTTGATGTTTAAAAATACAATAAATTCCCATGTCCAAGTTATAGTGGGGATGTAATTTCATTTACCGTGACAGGCACGGATCCAACACAGATCCGAGGAGAGCCCAAACATTTTTTACAACACAATTACAATTAAAATATAATATAATACATTATGTATATTATTTTCTCATACAATTCTCATATAAAAATCGGAGAAATAATATGCCTGGGAAGGGGCTGGGCCCCTAGCTCCCTTGGATCCGTCCCTGTACTGTGATGTATTATATTAGAATGAGGATGAGACAATTTGCACAAGAAAATAAGACTAATTTCAAAAATCAGAAACTTAAAATACCTATAGAATAAACCTTGTTAAAACACATTTCTTGGATTAATCTTTTAATAATTCGCTTGGAAAAAAAAATCAAAAACTATTTAATTGAAAATATGGGAATATCTTATAGGTAAATACATGGCTAAATATATAGGTATGATACACAACATTGTGACACACAATTACAATGGCCGCCACTGGCAGTGATTCCAGTTTTATTTCAATCTAACTGGTAATAAATATCACTTCCAGCTGAATTTTCTTTTCATAAAAAGATATGGAATAAATAGTTGTGATCATATTTAACCATGGGTAGATAGATCCTATAGGTATTTTCAAGAAAAGGTCTATTTTAGCAAACATTAACCTATTTGCAAACGGCTGCTGACGTCATATCTAAGCATGCAATAATGTATAACGTAATAATAATTATATAATATATAATGCAATAACATATCTGTGGTTCATGATTATTTTAAATTTTATTAATAATTTAAGACCGTTTTTTAAAGTAATATGTCACAACCTTAAAATAAGTATGTAAGGCAGCGCTCAATTTACAGTGGTACAATTGGAAATGAATTCGCCTTACCAAGCGGAATGCTGATAAGGTATAATTATCCGACCTTATCTTCTAAAGAGTAAAGACCGTGATTTTGATATACACGACGAGCGTCTCGGGAGCAAACTTGCGCCACCAGTGTTCACATTAGTTGTCGATATCAAAGATTAAATATTTTTAAAATTTTATTTTGACAAATTCAACAATCAGCATTGTTCACGATTGTTGAAAACATTTTTAAAATAATAAAAATTTAATAACAGAAAAAAAATAAAAATGATTGTCAATGAAAACTTTATTTTAAATTTGTTTGTTTTTCTTACATTGTCCAACGTTTTTTTCTCACTTTTTTCCTATTACTGGGGACTAAAATGTATATAGTGATACTTACTAGTACCTTAGAAACTACGTCCTTTAAAAATATACCAAGAAACATGTAGATAGTGTTTATTTTATACTGCAGTAGCTACTGTGATGTATATTAATACATACATACAATATACAATACATACAATTGACAAAATATTTTAAATTGCTGTTTTTTAATTTGATTTATTTTAATATTATTGTTACTCATTATTAGTCCTAAGATTGACAAAATATTTTATTCATTCTAATTTGACAGTATAAAATGAAGGTGGAACAAAGTTATAATGATACGTATATGTGAAATTTAGTATTTAATTAATAAAATTAGAAAAATTAATAGGTAATTACAAAAATTCTACATACCTATCTATTTGTATTAATAAATTTAAAAAAACAACCTTTTTCACATCAACTCCTGTGATTTATTTTAATTTACAATAAATAATAATAGAAATGTTTAAGTGGGTACTCTTTCTTTAGAAGATTCAAATTTTGGCCAAAATGAGTACTATTCACACATAATTCATATACAATGTGCTTGACAGATTTTTTCAACGCGGTTGATATTATTTTTTTTTTTTAAATCCGTTTGTCTTCAAGGGGGACATCCATTTGGAGAAAAATTACATTTTACGAATCGTGAAACCTTAACTTATTTTTCATTTATAACGACCCCTCCAAAAATCGTTTAATAGAACTTGAATAATACAATGTACAGTAAACATATAGTATTTATGGTTTTTGGCGAACCCCTAACTATCATTTGCGAACTTATCTACATCTATATGTAGTCCATTTATCCCCTATCGTATGTAACGCTTACCCTATAATATTTTTTCTTACAGTTTCATGGGGGATATTGGGAATATTATCATTTATTAATTTTATTATAATATGTACAGGTTGAGTTTATTTTGTTATTATTTTATTATAATATATATCTACATTATTCTACCAGAAATATTACTCCAATTTTCAAGTGTAACACTTACTATGAAAGGAAATTTTCCTCGGGTAGTACTCAAGCAAAATTGTTTTTTATTTTCTAAGTAATTTTCACAATTATTGGGAAAACCTATGAAAAACAGGAAAAACAAGAAAATGTATGAAAAAAAACTTTATTTATCTTTTTTAAACCTGATAACATTTTCAAACATTTTGGCTAGTTTTGACCTATTTAGTTATTATTTTAATCTTGGGAGTTTTTTATATCATTTTTATTCAGAAGGTGGATAACTAATTTGGTGGATAAAATGTTTGGACAAAAACAAAAATACTAGACAATTTAACAAGAAGTTCTATTTTAAGTTTTATTGTAATTATTACATACAAACTTTTATACAAACTGATCATATATATGTATCAACAAAAACAAAAGAAAACATAAATGATATTTTGAAGAAAAACTATTTTTGAAATTTGAGGAATTTGAGGCACGAGTTAAAATAAACCAATTGAATTGAAATTATGTTAATGTTATTTTCATGTTAATTAACATGAAAATATACACTAATTTTAATTACATTACTAAAATTTATTTTGTTTAAACAGATATATATATATTTAAAATCATTTTCCCTAAAAAAAACAAACATGTATAATAAACATAATAAAATTAAAAATAAATACATTAACGAGAATTATATTAAAATGTAAAAACTTATAAACCATCCGGTAAACATCTTAAATATCAGAATTATAGGGTTAGTAATAAAGCATTAATATAATATGCACATATTCTTATACTTTATTGAATAACTTTGGATAGTATTATAACATTAGTGAAAAGATCTCTAACTATTGACTTATACTTTTATATCCTTACGTATACACATTTATAGATTCTATATTGTATAATATTTCAAATGTTACTATTATTCTAATACTTTTACAAATTCACAGTAAACAAGTTGATATTTTGTTATTTTTATATTGAGCACAGAAAAATATTTAAATAATAAATATAGAAAAAAAATCAAGAAACAACAGCTTCCCAAACCAAATACATTGCATTGTGGATCGTTTACAAAAGTAGTTTAATATTGCATTAATGTATATTATTTTCTTAAATGTTACATCCTCAGAGTTTCTGTATAGTATGTTTTCTTACATGTACAGTCAACGAAGTGTTATGTTTAAATGATTTTTTACATACCTCACATTTGTAGAGCTTTTCTTCTGTATGTTTTACCTTATGCCGCTTTAAATTGGACAAACCAGTAAATGATTTATTACAAACATTACATTTAAATGGTTTTTCACCAGTATGAATCCTTGTATGACCCAACAAATTTGATTTATGTCTAAATGATTTTTTACATACCTCACATTTGTAGAGCTTTTCTTCTGTATGAATTAACTTATGCCGCTTTAAATTGGACATAGTAATACATGATATTAGACAAACATCACATTTATATGGTTTTTCACCAGTATGAATTCTTGTGTGACCCAACAAATTTGCTTTATGTCTAAATGATTTTTTACAAACATCACATTTGAAGAGCTTTTCTCCTGTATGAATTAACTTATGCCGCTTTAAATTGGACAAAGTAGCAAATGATATTTCACAAACATCACATTTAATATATGTCTCGGGAGTATGAATCCTTGTGTGATTCAATAAATTTGATTTATGTCTAAATGGTTTTTTACATACCTCACATTTGTAGGGCTTTTCTTCTATATGAATTTTTTTATGCCGGTTTAAACTAGACATATAAGCAAATGCTAATTTACAAACATCACATTTAAATGGTTTTTCTCCAGTATGAATAAACTTATGTTGCAATAATCTGGACAATCTATTAAAGGATATTCTACAAACATTGCATTTGTAAATGTTCTCTCTAGTATGAATCCTTGTGTGTGCTGACAAAGTTGATTTATGTCTAAATGATTTTTCACATACTTCACATTTGTAGGGCTTTTCTTCTGTATGAATTAACTTATGTCTATTTAAACTGCTCGAACTAGTAAATGATACTTCACATACCTTAAAATTATATGGTTTTTCCCCAGTATGAATTCTTGGGTATACTAACAAATTTGATTTATGAATAAATGATTTTTTACATACCTCACATTTCTGAAGCATTTCTTTTATATGAATTAACTTATGCTCCTTTAAATTAGATAAACTAAAACATGATATTCGACAAACATTACATTTAAATAGTTTTTTTTCTTTATAAATTAGCTTATGTTGATTTACATTGGACAATTGTGAAACGTTACAACTGTTTATTAAATCAGTTTCTTTTTTTATTTCAATTGTTTGTGTATTTGGTTTTTTATTAATCTCTTCTTCAGAGGAACTCGTAAATCTAAAAAGTTTAGATATCATAATTTAAATTGAATACTTTACATTTGTCAATCAAAGTTTATGGCCAAAACATAAAAAAGTGTATTGGTTTTGTGTAGAAAATTAAATTAAATTTAAAAAATTGTTGGAAACCAGGCATAAAGTGGTAGACTATTAAGAATGTCCACCACATATATCATTCAGGTGGGCAAACAAATGTTACAATTGAATAGACAATTTAAATCGATAGACGGTGAAACTCTGGCCTATTGGACAGTTTCAAAATAGTAAAATAGGTAGAAAGCTTCAAAAGATGTTCAAAATATTATAAAAAAAAATTGACTTTTGATTATCAATTATACAGTGTTATAAATCATTTAAGATTAAATTGGTTCCATTTTTTAAATTTTTTTTTAAACTATGAAAAAAGAATTTAAAGATGCTTACCGTGGGAGGCAATTTTCATTGTCAACTTTACTTCCAGTGTGCATTTTCAAATGGCGTTTTAACAGTGATTTAAAAAAAAATGAGTTATCACAGTTGTGACATGTATATATACATTTTATATCTTTTGGTTTTTGGTATAACATTAATTCCATAGGATCATTTTCAATAGTAATTACACTTTCAAATTCACAACCGTCTATTAAATCATATTCTTTTTTTATTTCAATTGTTGGGGGATTTGGATATTTTAGTTCTTTTAAGTTACTCGTAGATCTGAAAAGATTTAAAATCATAATTATTAGTTATCATCGTAAAAACACATTAGAGCAGTTTCAGCCCTACCATAGTCGGTAGCCTGTGAACACAGCCCCAATAGTATTTGTGTCTGGGAGTACCTCAAGGCCCAAGATTGATAAAACATCTTTATTTAACTATTGCAGACTACAGTAAAATAATCAAAATATAATATTAAATTATCAATTTATTATAATAATTGCGTACGCGAGTAAATTATTGAAAACTAAAATATTGCTGAAAATGGCTTTTGTGCAAAATCTGTTGTTATATTTTTGAAATATGACTAACTTTTAACCTAATATTGCATTGGTGTTCTTGGCCTTTTTATTTTTCATCTATGGGGGCTCTTAAAAACAAAATGCTGCAGGAGCCTTTGGTGTGCCAGGTTGACACTGCATCAGAGGTATATATAATAAAATATTTTATGTAGGTGCTTAATATTGTATGATGTTAATAACAGAAAAATAACAAAACTTATATTTGGTAAATAGAAAAAAAACTTAATAATGATAGATAGTAAACTCTAACAAAATTTAATTTTTTTTTTTTTTAAAGTAATTCAAGGGTATACTAGTAAGCTCCAATATATTAATAACAGAGTATTTGACAGTGTTCTGACAAAATGAAAATGAACAAGAATTGAAGGGTACAAAATGTACTCGTACATCTGAAACGTTAAAATATCATAATATAAATTGAATACCTCTGTTTTTATCAAACACCAAAAATAAAAACCCAAAGCAATGCATATTACCAGTTATTTAACAAAACTGTTTCAGTTCCTAAATAAAAATATTTAATGTATTTTCTTTATTTATTTTTATTATTTTATAATATTCTTATTGTCTTTAATTGCCTTAGGTTATGCAAAAATAAAAATAAAAACTTAACCAAGATACTCGAAACAATCTTTAAAGGATCTATTTTTATTGTAAAAAAATTCAAATTTAAATAAAAATTAACATCAAATTAATTTTTTTCCCAATGAAATAATATAAAAGTTATAATCTATCCATTATCCACTAATAAATCAACATAAACACGTAACATTAAATCAGTAGTTCTAATCATGTTTTTATTAATAACCTTTATTTTTAGGAAATTAAATACCATATCATTTTTATATTAAACATTGTTTCATATCTTCAGCCATTTGACAAATACAATAAAATAACCTTAACAAAATCAGCTTTGTTAAATACATGAAATATTTTATAATTTTTGGAAAAAAAGATTTTACAGCAAATTGTATAATAATAAATTATATAGACATTAAGAAGACCTACACCAAAAGTCTCCTATCATTTTATAATCAGTGAACCATCAGTGAATCAGTATAATAGTTACTGAATTATTTACGAAAAACCACAAAACTGCCCAGTTTCCTCATTTTCAACCTTCATAGGGCACAGAAAAGGGGTGAGTTATCATGGTCAAATTTCACACAAATTACTTTTACGCGATAAGGAACAAAATAGAAGGGATCGGACATAAAAAATAAGTACCACCATAATGTCCACTGCTGATATCATTAAGGTGTCAAACATATGCTACAATTGAATTGAGACAATTCAAAATTCAGAAAATTGCCATACACCTTGATCTTCAAAAAACTGATGTGTATCACATTGTCCATGAGAAATCAAATTCTCATAAGGATAGAAAGAGTGTACTTCGATGGAAAATGTATTGTGTTTATCCAAAATGGCATTTTTAAGTTATTCTATTATAGGGAAAATGTATCAATTTAAATGGTGAATATGTGAAAAATAGAAAAAAATGTCTAATTTACCATGTAAACATTTTAATGTAATAAATTAATTTTCATAATTCAATATATTTGTGTACCTTATTTATGGAGGATATCCTGCATAACAAAAATTATATTTTATATAGAATGATTAGGAGAAATTCCAACCAATTGGACATTTTGAAAATGGTACAATAAGTAAAAAGCTTCAAAAAATGTTCAAAATAATATTAAAAAAAAAATGTTGATTATCAATTATATAATATAAAACATAATCAATATGAAATAACAACATTTAAGATTAAATTTGTTTACTTTTTTTAGTTTTTAGAAACTATGAAGAAAGAACTTAAAGATGCTTACCGTAGAGGGCGATTTTCATTGTCAACTTTTTTTCCAGTGTGCATTATCATGTGACATTTTAACATTGATTTTGAAAAAAATGAGTTATCACAGTTATGGCATGTATATTTCTTTTTTTTAAGTTTTGGTTTTTGATGCAATATTAATTCCATAGGATCATTTTCAATAGTAATGACACTTTTAAACTCACAACCATCTATTAAATCATATTCTTTTTTTATTTCAATTGTTTGAGTATTTGGATATTTTATTTCTTCTAAGTTACGCGCAAATCTGAAAAGTTTTAAAATCATAATAATTAGTAATTACCAGGACTCGTGACTTGTAGCATTTGCATATTTGTTTTGAAAACTCCTAGTAACACTTAATTCAGTTACAAATTTGTTTCGGATAACCAGTAAGTAAAATATAACATTTTTTGTTGCATATTTGTTAATTTCGACACTATTTTGATGTATATAGCGCTATTTAACACTTATATAGTCATTTCAAAGAAGAAAAACCATCATAGGATAATGGGGACAGGTGCAGTCACTATTATAGTTAATTTCATGTATACCTTGTAAGCAACGATAAACCATTGAATACGAAAAAACTATTCTGAGCAGAGTTCAGTTGATAGTGATGCTTAATCAACAATAATTATGTTAATTTATAGTAAAATAATTAAATAAGTTCTATATAATTTCTTTAATAATATTTGTTTAACGTACTGATTTTCCCAGTTTTATCAGTTTTTTAAATTTGATGAGAAAACTCTTGAGAAAATCGAAAACTTACTTTTCCAAAGTACCTTAAAGTACCTCCCCATATCAATTTCCTTTCAGAGAAAGTGCTACACTTAGAAACCTGAACAAGTCTTCTAGTAGAAAAGTTGTTAAAAGATAAAAAAAAAATAAACATATTTATAAAACTGTAAGATTCTTTGCTCTACTCAGAATCTAAAATGAAAATTTCCTACAAAGTTAATATTATATTTGGGTTTATCAGTTTATATTTCAGTAATTGTCAGAAAAGAAAATGAGATTGACAAATTATTTGATCAGTTATTACCAGTGCTCATGACTCGTGTAGCATTTGTACATTTATTTTGAAAAATCCTGGTAGCACCTAAGATAGTTACAAATTTTAAAATTGCTTTTTTTTACATATTTGAAGTAGGTATTTTTGATATTTAGTGCTATTTAAGTTACCTAAGTTTTAATACTTAAAACATTTTATATTTACTTTAAAATGATCTTAAGGTTAACAACTCTATATCATAAACACTAAATGTTAAGAAACCACAAAACAAGTCGGGGATTTAGAAGAGTACTGGACAACAACTGGAATCAAAAAATGGCATCAAAATGGAGATTTGGAATATTAGAACCTTAAATAAACCGGGTGCATTATAATGTATGTTGGACAGTATTTAAAATTAGAATGTTACTATAGTAGCTTTAAAAGTGGCCTGGAGAAGGAAACATAAAAGAGAACAATTTTCAATAGTGGTAACAAAAACTGAAAATTCGAAAATGTAGTACCTAGGATTTGTAATAAATAAGAGTATCCTACCACACATTAAAACATTTCAGGTGATTAATAAATGCATATGCTACATACAGATAAAATGACACATTTTTGACATAGTAATAATTAACTGCTTTGCACCAACAAAGGAAATCAAAGAAATGTTTTATGGAGAATAAGACAGAGTATGGAATCTAATACCTAATCATTGTGTCAAAATATTACTTGAGGGCATTAATGCCAAAGAACCAAATAGATCATAGTATAATGATTCAAAATAAACAAGTAGTATATGTACAAAATTTTTGAATTTACAGGGGTGCCGATGCAGGCTCTGATCAGATAAAGATGGAGAGAATTGTCTATGACAGCTCAGATCCTGCAGGGACTGTCAAGCTATGATGATTTACATTAAAATAGTAATTAATTAATACATTCGCTTACTGTAAACTTTTTGAAGAATTTTTGATGCTTTGACCAACTTCCATAATGAATAATTAATATTTCAGTTTAATTTTGTTTTATCTCTGTGGCCATGAAATAAGTAGGTATTTAAATAAATTGTTAAAAATTGAATAATATAATGTCATTAATAATACACACTAATACAAATTGATCATGTGTATAATAAAAGAAAAAATATTATAAACAAAAAAGTTATTCATTTTAATTTTCAATTCAATGTGTTGTCGTTGACACTGCGATTTTAGAATGTCCGGCACCCATGAGATTTCAAAAATATTTATATCTGTGTGTTGCTTTAACATAGCCTATGAAATATTCGAATGGTTCTGAGTTCTGACTTTTGATAGCAGTAATAAGACAAATCTAATAAATTTTATCACAATATCGCATTATCATACATAATCAGGATTTGGAATGGAGTCACTTTTCCCAAAACCATAAGAGAAAAATTAGAACACTTAGATATGTCATTGGTCGTCTTGCTATTAAGGCTTATCAATTTTTGTTACGATATAGTTATCACGGCTCTATGGTATTGTGGCGGGTTTCGCGCCACATTTCTTCTTCCCGCTGCGCGTCGCTCGCGGCGAACGTCGGCCACGCCCCTCGCCGTCGGCGTTCAACGGTCATCGTCCTCAGCACCGCTCGACTTGACTTCTCGACCGCTCGACTCGCTTTCTTCGCACCGACGCCGTTCGCGAAGTATTGTTTTCCGACTCCGAATAATTATTATGTATAATTGTTTTTCTTAACTAATGTTGTTTTAATTGTTGCGTGCTCGCCTTTTCCTCCGTCAAAAACCGTCTGCTGGCGATCACTTGTATTATGTCTTTATGTGGTAAATACACGTTTCTTTATTACCTTATCATAAACCTCATGTCTTGGTGTAACCCGCCAAAGTATTATTTCCCAAAAACAAAATAAATTAATAACATGGACCACGGTTACATAGTGGAGACATTAATTTTATAGATAATCACAATGCAATTATTATAACAAATAGTAGTTATATATTACACCTACCCTCACAGTCAGTATTGGGAATTATCTAGATAAGATTTTTTTTAAATTAATTATTTTTAACGTATCTAGATAATTGTAATATAATACTGCCTCTAAAAAAATATATTGATGAATAATTATAATTTTTTTTTTTTAAATTACGGTATTACATTACAGACATGATTTATTGAAAATTTATTTAGAACCAACTTTTCCTTGAGATAATATAAATTAATAAATTATTCATTTATTCATTTTTGTATGCATTTGTATAATTATGCAGGAGTATCAATATTATCTATATATTATTAAAGAGTCAGCTAACTACATCCTGATCCTATTGAATATACTGGTATAGGTATAAATATTATGATTTTTCATTCTTACATATTTAAAAAAAATCAAAGATTAAGAGAGATATAGTTAAATAAAAGGCACGATCCGTTATTATCATAAATATTATTTCGCCATGGCATTATATTGATATAAATCTAACTAAATAAATAAAACAATACAAATAAGTTTAAAAAAAATGATAATTATCTATGTTTTTATCTGGATAATATTTTGATAAAATCGTCTTATCTAGATCATTTTTAGTTATCTATTCCCAACACTGTTTACAGTGCAACAACCAGTACCGTGCGAGTTACGCGGGTGTTTGCGTCAGTGCAGTCATATGAGTAATTGGCTGGAATCATGGATAAATAAAATTCCTAGAAAGCAAACTCGTTTCTATTATTAAATCAGACGCTATTTATAGGTTGGGCAAAAACGATAGTGAATCATTGATATTTAACTGTTGTTGTTCTTATTATTACACTAGCTGAATTACCCGGCGTTGCCCGGAAACAAATTCGTGACAAATTAGACAACGCCTTGTATTACCATTTACCGTCTTAAATTCATAATTACCGTTAATATATATATATATATAATAACCTAATAAAATAGGAGTATTGGTGTACGCGCGATACATGAGATTATTTTTATCGATAAACTTATCGGAACAATTTTATTCTCGGAATCATTATTCTTATCTACACGACGACGACGACGAACAAAAAGGATAGGTTACAGGTAGCTGGAAACCCGCGGGCCGTCGTGCCGCACAATACGTATTGGCGGTGAATAATTATAATTGTTAATTACTCCACTAAAACGCAACATTTTTGAAAATCCCTCCTTGTTGCACGGTGAAAATATAAGAAGAACCTGTATTCCAAATTTCAAGTCCGTACGTTACGTAGTTTTTGAGATACAGCGATCAGTCAGTCAGTGGTATTTGGATTTTATGTGTATAGATTGTGTCCATTAGGAGATAATAAACATCGATTTTATATAAAAATCGATAATACTTATATCGATATCAATTATATCCTATTTTGCAATCGCTTTGCCCCACCTATAATTGATTGAAGACTTCAAACTGTTCAAGCCAGTATACAGAGTTTGCTATCTAGTTATTTTATGTATCTATGGCTGGAACACAACAAAATCGTAATCTACGGAAAACAAATTATTAATTGTTTCTTATCAGTGTTGAATTCAGAGAATTTCTCTGGGGAGGGCTCACGTTCTTTTCATTGGTCATTTCAGTAAATTGGAAAGAGTAACGAGTACTATACATTTAATATATACATTTTGTTAGTTACACACAGTTATTTTATATTTTTAAGGGGGAAGGCAAATGAAATTCTAGAGGGGGCATTTTTCCTCCATGGAGTGTAATTGGATTCAAAATTGATTATGGTCATATGGACAATGACTGCTAAAAGCCTGAAATAAATTCACACTTCACACTACTTTAATTGTCATTAACTGATTATTTAATACTTGATGATGACGACGACAACAAATCTAAAACCATTTGTAATTTACGATTTTTTTCGATATTGTTCACAAATCACAATAATTCATAGTCTACACTATACAGCATACAATATTCATGCAAATATTATATAGTCAACTGGTAAAACCTTATCAATGAAATTCTATTTGTTTAATATTTTCTCTACTAGTATATTTTTTATTAGTTTTTTTTTTTATGTTATAAAACGTATGAAATGCTATGTATTGTAATTGTAAATGTATGTACCCCCTACTCATATCACTATTGTAATTTTATTGTAATTGGACATTTGTCCATAATATTTAATAAATAAATAAATAATTCTGTGGCTTAGTGCAAGAAAGGTTAATGCCACATTTTGTGATTGGTGACAAAAATGAGCTTTGAAATTTTAGATTTTAGAATGTGCCACGTGGTTCCAAAAATATCTATATCTGTGTGTTGCTCTAGCATAGTCAATAAAATATATTTTATGTTTTAATGGTTCTAATAATAGAAATGAGCAAAGTTCTTATAAATCTTATCACAATATCGTATTATCATTCATAGTCAGAATTTGTTTTAACTACCTACCAAAGTGTATTTATATATATATACATCTTGCTACCGACTCTATATTAAGTCATCTGGTTATCACCACTTCTATGAATTATTTTTAATAAAAACGAAATCATAATACGTAATTTGTATACAACTGCCTATAATACATATACAAACAAAAATAATACTTGTACTCGGACGGGTTGGGCCGTTGAGTATAGTTATTTATTGAGTTCCTTATTCTCAGATTAGGTTTTCCAAACACAAAATGCGGATGACTGTCTTAGAAGTTAAACGTTTATTGAACCATATACGTTTAACAAATGAATATTGTTTTGATAGAAGGCATATTTAAAGAGAAACATAGGCGTACACAGTGTTATTGAATCGTGTCCGTTATACGACTGTCGTCAATCGTCAGTCAGAAAGGTATTACATACCCTTAGTGACGGTAGTCGCTATAAAAAACAATATATTGCTTACTTTGTCAAATGCTTATATTCTTACATATCTTAAAACCGAGGATTCTCAACATCCCCGGGGTTAAATGAAAGTTCATTTCCTATTCTTCAACTATATTATTTTGGGCAATGTACTCTTTTGTTAATGGGAATATCTATCATTTCATAATATAACTTTCTACTGGTTTTTCCATGGTATCGACAGTTTTACAGAATTTATTTTTATTTTAAAAATATAAAATTATTATTAATAATAAACCTACACTGATGACAATTATTCCTATATTAAATAAAAATTATTATTCCTCGTTTCTATGGTGTCGCTTTTTGTTTTTGTTTTTTTTTTTCTGTATGTTTTAATTCTTCCAAGGAATTAAACTCTAATTCCTTGAAAGCTCTTAATTATTACATCTCGTATTCCGCCTTCCTGTATGCTACTACAGTGGCCGGCCCGCTGTGTGAATTGAACGTCCGGATTTTGTTTCTCCGGACTTTTTCTCACCCTCTTTAGCCGTTGTCGTCGTCATCGTTTGCACACTGCACGGTCCTCCAAACCGACACTCTAAACGCAAAATATCCCGAGGAGGAGACGGTCGGCCGGGAAAGGTTAGGCGACGGTGACGGTTATCGCGCGCGCATATAATAGTCGGAGCCTGGCCCGGGTCCAGATATTGTATACAATCCCTGTATATTATCGTAACCCCCTTTATGTTGTATTATATACGAGTTTTTATCGTTTCACGCATACACGCACGCACGCACGCACGGGCACGTTAACCTTAACAACGGCGCATAATGTATATGAAACTTTCCTACGGGGCGCATTATCTCCGGAACGGTTTCACGCGCGCGTAGCAGTACGGCCACTATACGGCAGCGGCAGCGTCATAAACGCGAAATTTATAATCTCATTTCGACGCTCAAACGGCCGTCTCCCGCTATCTCTCCCGTCTCCCGAACCGATGACGGCGTTTATTATTATTGTTATTATTACGAGTGTGATACGTATGCCGAGGACCGCCGCGTTCCTTCTCCCTAACGCGCCGCAGCCACCGCCACACCGTCGTTGACGAACGGGTCCCCGTCGCAGTGTTGGATCGCGGATCTCTGTAAATTTCTAGGCGAATGTTTTCAAAACTACAAAGGAGCCGTTATGTTTTAATACACA